CTCTCTCTCTCTCTCTCTCTCTCTCTCTCTCTCTCTCTCTCTCTCTCTCTGTCTGTTTTTCTCTCTCTTTCCTACATATATACGTATATCTGTATCTATCTACCTATCTCTTGGCTATTTCGTCCGTGAGCCGATGGGACGCAGCGCTGCGATGCGCCAACAGTCCGCTCACCTTCTCGGTATCTAATTGAACGGATCTAACGCGTTAATTACGATACCGGCGGCCGAAGCCGCCAATATTTACACCGGTCGACTGCTCGTTACCATTATCGTTGTTTACACGCAACCTCCTTAGAAACAAAGCGTTCTATCGTCCTATGACGACGACGACAACAACGCGCCGTCTTCTATCATCGATTTTTCTCAACCACCGGAGATCCTCTTCCCTCACTGAGCGTAAACGTAATAAAAATATAGAAAAATCGTCAAGTCCGATGGAAAAATAACACGAATATAACCGGCCATCGGCGACGCGGAACGAGACACAAAATAACGCTGTGCATTTTGATGCAACCGAAAAAAAAAGAAAATTTTACGCGCATTCCGCAAAGATAAAAGTATTATTCTGCCGGCAAAAACAAAACGAATATTCAGTTTACATTCCTTCTCATAAGTCATGATTATCTTCAACACAGAATTTTTTTTGTAAGTTTTAAAATGTATTCATTGAAAATTTGAGAGGAGCTAATTTTATCGCTAATTTTATTCAAAAGAAGAATTTCTTACAAGAATAATTATGATACTTTATCGAAGGAAAAAATTGCTCGACTCTATATGTACACAGATAAAAAAAACAAAAGATTTCATTGACATAGTTAACAATGGTTTGTTGAAAATGTATTTGTCGCTGTGACTAAAAATTCATTGCTGTAACTGAAACTTTAGCTGCTCTTGCTACCGCATCGATTTCAGCTAAATACCCGAGTTAAAAAGTTTAGCTCTCCACTTTCGACCTTAGCTTTAAAATATCTGTATATTCTGAAGTATCAGTGTATGTTTAAGACGCGTGGGAATTGAAAATCTTACTTAGCGTTCCTAAATGGCACAGAAAACGTACAAATGCCACTTGTTGGCTCTAAAGAGAATCTCTCGACACATTTGGTAAGTAGAATGGAAAGAGATTTATATAGACTTCAGAAGCTCGAAGTAGCTGTCAAGTTGGAATATTGAGGCCGAAAGTAGGGTCCAAATTTCGATACACGCCTATTGGCAGCTACCTTTTAGGTATCCATGTGTTACAACGAGATCCAGCTGTCACACACAGATCCTCGCTGCGACAGCTGACTTTTCTCTTCGTGTAACGAGCACAAACCGGACTTTTCTTTCAACTTACTATTCTTGATCTCGATCAAGAATAGTATAATCTTCACTGTGTATCTAAGTATAATCTTACTGGGATTCAGAATATATTTTGAATAAATTTGATGCTCGGGACGGACTAATGATAGAGTTGCCGATGTATAAGCTTCTAAAATGCTTGAGACAAGTAACATTTACTTGACCGCAGTATGTATTTTTCTATATGCACCTCGACGGCCACTAACTAACAATTTCTCGTGTCGCTTGTTCTCGACGCGCCCCCAGCCGCGCTTCGCACGGCCACTTCGAACACGTTGCACGAACGCGAGCATGGAGCCGCTAATTCACTCGTAACAACCCCTCTTCGCCCATTCCCAGGCCGATTACTATCTGCGCGACCGAACATTACGGCTATCCGCGCCCCGTTGCATTCCGGCGCGCTCAGGGCGAGGCGACGCCTCACTTCGTGGCGCAGCCGGTGGGACAGGAAAAAAAAGGGAAAATAAAGGAAATTCGTCCGACATCGTCGATGAATACAGATAAGCGCGCAGGTCGTCACTTTTTTCTCGATACGATCCTGTTATACGAAGGCGTCGTCGTCGTCGTCGTCCTCGCTTGCCCCTTTCCCTTTTTTCTCCTTTTTTCACTCTGCGTTTTTTTCCGATTCGCCTCGTGCGCGCGCGACTTCCACGGACAGCGCGCAAAATTCTGTATGAGTGTACTTGGCGAGGATTTCCATAAAATTATTATACGCTCGTGCGCTCGCCAAAAAATTTGCATACCGCGAGCATTCGGCGGCGTCGCGAGGAAGGAAAGAGGAAGATAGAGCGAGAGAGAGAGAGAGAGAGAGAGAGAGAGAGAGAGACAGAAAGAGAGAGAAGTCAAATAAAAAGGTTTCGACTCCCTCCATTTCGCTCTAATCGCGTTTTCGTGTCCTCCCTGCACCGCGCGAACGCTGACACGAGCTCTCTCTCTCTCTCTCTCTCTCTCTCTCTCTCTCTCTCTCTCTCTC